GGGAAAACTATCAAAAACACCATCCACATATAAATGTTTGAACTGTTTTATACCCTTGTCACACCACACTGAGAATGTCGAGTCCAAAAGTGAAGGGGGAAACAAATGGTTGTCGCTTAGAGGACCCGAGGAAGACGGCATTACAAAATTAAAGTGACGTCTAAACTGAAACCAGATTTTGAGTGTGTTAAGAACCACCTGATTATCAGTGTACAGAGAGGGTCTCACGGGTAAAGAGAAATAGAGCAAAGCCGGTAAAGAAGAGCCCTTACATGATGATAGCTCCAATTTACACCACGAGGAACCAGAAGATTTTAGCCAGTAGCAAAGTTTATGGATGTGAGCGGCCCAGTAGTAGACTAAAAAATTAGGTAATGCAAGTCCTCCACTAAATCTGCATCGCTGCAGCAAAGTTTTAGAGACCCTAGGTGGCTTCCCTCCCCAAATGAAAGAACCAATAATCTTGTCCAGTGAAACAAAAAAATGTTTCGGCAAAAATAAGGGAATTGACTGAAATAAAAATAAACATTTTGGTAAGATGTTCATTTTAACAACATTAATCTTACCGATTAAAGAAAGGGGGAGATTACCCCATCTTTGAATATCAGATGTGATCCTTGATATAAGAGGAGACAAATTTGCTGATTTAAGGGAGATTAAGGTATTTTAACCTGTAAATATTCGTAGAGCATTACAAAGAGTTTCAGTTCCAGCTTTTTAAAGAGAATAAAGCTGACACTCCCCTTCTGAACTATTTCACCAGTTCCAATCTCTGCATCAGTTGGCTGCCATTCCTCTCCCATGTGGAAATAGCAAAGGAGTGATTACTGTGTTTACAGGGAGCACTCTAAAAATAACGAGATAAGAACAGTAGAAAAAAACATTCCTTAAACCTCCTTAGTTTACAGCACTGTCGTCCAGTACGTTCACTTAAAGACAAACGGTGAGCGTGTGTCACATCTTCGCTGTGCTGTAAAGCAAGAGAGAATAGAGGAATGTGCAAACGAGGACAGCAGATTCCCCTCATGGCTCAAGCCCTCTCACGCCATCAACTGTCTCCCCAAAATATCTGCCTCCACCCCTGGGCGTCAGGCCACCGTCCCTGCTGCCCCGCCCTTGGCGCTCATATCTGCCCTTGTCCGAGCACACGCACACACGAGTACTAACCAGAGTTCCTGTTTCTGTACTGAGCGTGTATGAGGAGTTGAAGAACTTGACACTGGTCTTTGGGTCATCGGGGATCTCCTCCATGTTCTTGAACCACTGGTACCGAGACTTGGGGAAGCCCTCCTCCTCCACACAGCTCAGCTCAGCCGACTTCCCCAAAGGCACTGATTTCGGGACGCTGCACTTTGGCACAACTGGCTTCACTGTGGGGAAACAGAACATACGATGACTGTCGCTGTAGCGAGTGTTTGCACAGATGGGCTTTTCTGCTCTGTAAACAACGGGGAGAAATAAACCAACACAATCGACACGACGCTGCTGGCTTTATGACTCTGAAGGTTAATGTCACCCTGACCCTGATGTTTGACTGGAGTGCCAGGATTGACAGGGAGTGGACGGGAACGTGATTTTCGCTCCATGCCAGAAAACGCCACCAAAACACGCGGCGCTTGCTTTCTTTAGCACTGCAATTCCGAGCAGATGCAGTTTCAGAGGTTTCCTTTTATAACCTAGAACACGCCTTTGCAGCTGGGCAGGTCTGGTCACAACGCATCCTCACATGTATGCCAAAGGGTTGGTGCAACCTACAACACGGTTTCATCTTACAGCATCCGACGTGCGAATCGTTGAGCGAGGTCTGTCCTTTTGAGGGCGCAATAATGACTTGCTTTCTGTGTTTAGAAGCATTTTCTGGCAGTTATCAGTAAGAGAGAGAGTGATCAGTGGCGCAGGCAGGTTAAAGTACCTCTTACAACCAGGTCAATCAGAATCTCATCAAAGGCCTTTTGGTCTTCTGCAGCAGTGACCTCACATCGATACTTGGCTGTGTCTGATCTCGTGGCGTTGGTTATCAGTAACGTGGCAGGTTCTCTGATCACTGCTCTGTTCTCAAGGTCACCTGCCAGAATAAAAACACAGCAAAGGTGAATATTTAAAAATATGTAACATATAGAAACTATTTACAGACTACTTCATGTATTACCATAGATCTTCTTGTCAAAGTAGACATAGCTTGGCCCCCCGCTTGTTATCTTCTTCCATTCAATTCTGGGATTGATTGTGGAAATAGACTCAATCACACATGATAGCTCAACTTCTGTAAGCAGAAACAGGAAGTGATACGAGGACATTAATTCAAGATCAATGACTGGTTTGTATTTTTTTGAGGGTCGTCAGTCTCGAGCTCTTACTGTCAAACTCATTTGTCCACGGTGAGGCATTATTTGTCTTCAGCACGACTGCCAACACGCTCAGGTAGCCTGCAAAGCAAGATGAAGAAGGCAACATAACTCTCCAGACTGTCATGATACAATACCAGCTGATGCTGGGCTTGTTTTTAACACTCATCTTAAATTTCACTGACACAATAAAAGGGAACTTAAATGTCAATTCCTACAAAACTGTGATGATCTAAACATAGAGGCGCTATTTGCCCTCGTTCTGTTAATATCTTCCCTTTTTAGCTGTATTGGTTAAACCATTGTGTGTGGGTGTGTGTGTGCTGTTTCTATGCACAGTGCGGGGAGGCATGTGCCCTTTTCAGGGCAACCTCACCAAACCAGTAGGTCAACAGCTTGCTGAGCCCTACTCTCTCCCTCTATCCTTGCTTCTACCTTCCCCTTCCTCTCTCTCTGAGCCCGATGCTGCCAGTGTTGGACTAAAAGTGCAAACAATGGGCCATGGATGAATCATCTCGACAGCCTTTGGTCAGCAAATTAATTCACACAAAGTCATTTCCATGTCAAAGTTAACTTACCAGCCTGCTCATAAACACTTGCAGGGAGATAAAAATGATGGCCTGGCTCATGGATGCAGAGTCACCAATAATCTATTTTTACTAAATTTGTTTATTGAACAAACACTATCGAGATGCTGCAATCATATCTAGTACTCTGGCTCAGTAAACAGGCTACATAGAGTCCAGACATACAGTTGTGGTTATATACTCTCATAGGCATGAATATCCTGGTAATTTGGGCTTTTAATGATTTCTTTGAATTGTTCTGTTTTCTTCCAGGATGGAATGATTATACAGCTTTAATGGCTTTAAAAAATAAGATTTGGTTGCACAGGTTTGAATTTATTTTGGATTTTCTCAAATATACAGAATGGCCAAAGTATACTTAAACAGAGGCTCAAATATAGGCCTACATCCCTACTAATATTTTGTTAAATGTCCCTCAGTATGTTGTAGCTTTTTTCTGGCCTAGTTCTAGCTGGATATTTGGTCACTCTTCTTCGGCAGAATTGGTAGCACTCATTTAAATTGGTTGGTTTTCTGGTACGGACCTGGCTTTTAAGTGTAGTCCAGGCATTCTGGGAACTTAATGGTATCCATTCCAAAAGCAGTTTTGGGATTACTGTACAGCTGGAAGTCCCAGCTGTCACCAAGTTTCACCGGCACAAAACAGTCCCAAGGTATGATGCACAGTGCTGCTAGGTTTGAAATCCTCATTTTTATGGAGGATGTGGCTCAGCTCATAGAGTGGGTCATCTACTAGTCGGACGGGCGGTGGATTGATCGTTATATAAAAGTGCTTGGGTATAGATCAAAGTACTGTAAAAATGTGTGTGTGATTGGCTAAGTAGTAGTAGAAAGTGTGTGCAAACGTACATTGAAAGGTGAAAATTTGAGCCGTCACGCACAACTTCTGTTATCTTGAAATCAAGATAACAATATTTAGACTTACTGCTTGTCTATTACAGCACGGTGAGGAAGCCAAATGCAGCTCCTGCTATTCTTTAAAACCTTTCCCCAGTCTCTCCACCCAATCCCCTGTTTAAAGTATTTTTAAACCCACACCTAAAAGTTGCAGAAAATATTTACAGTTGGTGCAGTCTGTTACTAATTAGTGGTGGAAAGGGTGTTGGGCCTCTCAATCAAAGAAACCTGCTCAAACAGGGATAACGTGACCTCCACCAGCTGTCATCTGGATGCACAGCAGTGTGTAGGGTCACCTGCTAAAGCAGACAGGATAAGCTGATTAGCCCACAGTCTTCCCGGAGATCATAACAAGACGACAGCTTGTTTTTAGCTGCTGACTGTTATAAAACCTTGTCAAAAAAACAGTTGCACCCATGTGTGACAATAAAAGCTTAATTCTAGGAGTCACGTTTTGTGCACCAGGCTCACACTGAGACTAAATATGGCTATTTTAGCATCGAGTACCATTATAGGCTACTAATTTTGCATAGCCAGGCTACGCTCATCATATGAAATTTTACACAAAAACCAGGATGATAACAGACGGTTCTTTAATTAGAAAACACTGTTTCAAATACTCCTTCACTCACATATTTGAACTGCTAAGAAGGTCAACAGCAAGACTTTGAATTCAGCTTCAGGGTGCTGCTTTACAACTTACCCTGACCTCTTGGTGGCAAAGGAAGGGAAAAATAAAGCAGAAAGGATGTCAAATGCATGCAGACTCACATTCGAAGCTATTTGAAGGAAAATGTTCAGCAGTACAACGGCGCTCTGGACTGTAATAAATATTAAATAAATACAGAGACGTATTTGATTTTTTTGCTTGTGTTACACAGCAACACAGAAGGCAAAGTTTGGTCCCAAGTGGGACAGAGTTGTCTTCACAACACCAAATGAAAAAAAAAAAGTTTCCTACAGCTCCAGAAAGTATGACTGAGAACTTCAACAAAGAGCAGCACAAGAGCAGAATTAGAGTATGCACTTTTTCACAGAAATGTGGTAATCCAGTGAAAGCATGTCGCCTCTTTAACTTGTACTCCACCGCGCTGCGCGCATAAAAAGGCTGTGCGCAGAGCAGAAATGCTTCCCAGCCTCCACAGTTACTGAGAGCTCCTCGTACCCGAGCTCGGCTCTTGTTATTTCATTTGATGAAGAATCACTGAAGGGTAATCTTTGCTTTACATGTGCAGTGCAACGATGACTGAATCCACAGCTTCTTCATTCATGCATGCACTATATTTACTGACAAAAGTTTGTACACGTGATGGAATGCCACTGCTTAATTCTGGTTTTAAATTTCAACTGCACTGCAAACTGCATAACCTAATACTGAATCCAAGCATGCGAGAATGGCAAGAGTCCAAAATCTCTGATGATGGTGTGTTGTAATAAAACCAGAAGTTCTTTGTGAATGATTAAAATTAAGTTATTTAGTTCTATGACTTTCCATTAAACACAGCATTCAGTTTCATCTACAGTTAGAGAGAGGCACTGAAGTCCCCTCCATTCCCTGACCTCCTCCTTATTTCAGACAGTATTAGTGCAGATTAGGTTCCTAAGTGAGCTTGACGTAGAGATAAAAAGCTTGAGAGGTCTTCTGTGGAAACAGCTGTCCAAGAATGCATATTAAACCCCCACTCAAACAGGCTGGCCTCTAATATAACGTAGGGTAGAGACCCTCCAATAATACAGATAGACCCCTTATGAGCAACCAAACTGCTTCCTATCAGCAAGAACGTCACATGTTTTGACCCCAGAATAAAATAAAAAGCCGAACAGTCCAACAATTGCTTTCTATCCTTTCAGCAAAGACTGCATCTTTCCCGGCTCTGTAACAGCGAGCCACAGCTGGACTGGCTAGCAAAGTATCAGGAACTGCTGACTGGATGTTATGAGAGCGGTGTTTCCCATCTCTGCTCCAGCCTGTCTGACACATCCTTCCCTGATCATGCCAAACTCATCCTGTCTGTCTTCTGCCATCCCTGAATAGCCTCTCAGGTCTTCTTCTGCTCTCCTGCATCAATAAAGCCAGTGATAATTAGTTAGCTAGAGGTTCAGGTCATCATCATGAAAATGGGACGCAACTCTTACTCTATGTGTCATAGCTAAGCAGTGCGTGACCGGGTCCGGGCGTAAGCTGGGTGTAATGTCAATTCTTAGCTTTTAAACCATGCAGGTGCTCAGTGACCTACATATGCAATTATTTTCTTTTTTGCTTCTTGGTTGGACACAGCTGTGAGAGATCAGGGAATCTGCAAATCTGCATCAAAGTTTTTTTCTTTTAATCTTCCTTGCTGCCTCCATGATGGGTGCAGGGTTTTCTCTATAATCTTGGTGTAAAGCCCTCATAAACCCCACCCCAGGTTTTACATCACTGAATAATACAATAGGCACAGAGGAGTTGGTTATTCCTTGATAAAAAAAAAACCCCCTCCATTCTTTCAGTGGTTTCCCCTGGGACGCCGCGCTTGTTTCCTGTACCGCTGCTCTGTAAATCCGGCGAGATGAGGCCGGTATCATAAATAGAAAGATTCAATTAGGCAACCGGTGATATTCCCCGTGGAACATCTCTACCTCGTGCCCTTGGAGAATATTCCCACACCCTTTGGAAGCTCAAACATCAAAGTACGCACACCCAGTTTTGCATACTATCAACAGTTGCTGTTTGGAAAGTCTTCACCTGCTTGAGTTGCACTGATCCTCTCAGCCAACTCTGACTGTCTACAAGCAAACGGGACACCCAAGAAGCTTTTAATATTATATGTTATATGGAATCTTTAACAGAAAAGAAGGACCCTCCTCCTCCTTTCACAGCCTGTCACCAACCACTGACTTCTCCAAGACTGTATGATAAGCATTACTAACATTACTATAGTGTCACACATTTTCTGTTCTGCTTTAAAGACACCAAAGACTAGCTTTACAGCCTTTCCACACAGACGCAGGATGAGCACGTGCATTCAAACACGTGTAGAAGCACAGAATGGTTAAAAGAACATACATCAAATGTCGCATAGCTACTGTTACATGAACAACATGACCTACATACCGCTAATAGGTGTTCAGCATCTTGATTCCAATTTAAACATAGGTAAACAAGCTAACCAATGAAGTAAACAACAACATCACTACTGAAGAGTACGAGTGTGCGGTGGTGGAGAAATGAAGCATGTAAGGGACACGAGAACCAAACTCCTGTTCCCACAGTGTCCCCTCACAGCGACGCTGCCTTTTAATTTGCAGGCCTTTTGACGTTTTAACCAAATCTTAACACCGTTTATATCTTTGCCTTTTTTCCCCTTTTTTGTCATGAAACTTTTCTTCTTGAATTGGATCAGCACAAATAAACCTTTTTAAAATAATTTCTAAAATTACAGAAATTACTTTATCATAATAAAGTCACGCACCAAGTGATGCTCCTTATGGCTCGGTCACGCTAGATTAAAAAGATGACCGCAACCTCCTGTTGACTAAGAAAAACTGATCGTTGTCTGGTGATTGCATTGATTTTTATTCATATTTGGTGGCTGATTTCAAGTAGTTGAAGTGATT